TTTCCACCACAGTCACGAACGTAATTCATTGTTTCCACCACAGTCACGAACGTGATTCATTGTTTCCACCATAGTCACGAACGTGATTCATTATTTCAGTTTCCGATGTGCGTGCACATCGTTTTCCTTCTTGGCTGTGCTGCGTTGATAATTACACCTATTTATCTACAACCCGTGAAGTCACTGACTGCGGCCTGCCTCCTGTTAAGTGGAATACCCGTATACTTTCTGCTTATATATCGAAAGAAGAAGCCAGATTGCTGCCGAAGTCTCCTAGGTAAGACCGTAAGGTGTGATAATTTAGTACGACAGTATATAGATGCTCAATGTACAGATGTTTGACATTCTCACGATAATTGCAGCCTAAATGTGCAAAATCACCAAACATTATGAAGATTTTGTCCTCATAACCTTGAAAGAAAACATAAAACGATATCCAGTAGCGGATCCAGTGTCTGCTTTCTAGGATGTCGCACAAAATATAATATAATAATTCAAAATAGAAACACCGACAAAGTTTAAGAAGATTCTGGAAAGACTGCATGGTCGGTCGGTTGTATGTCCACGATGAACCTGTTGCGGATATCCTACATGAACACCATAGAATTTTTAAGCAAGATATTGTGATAGACAACTGTAATATCCAGCAAACCATGTGTATTCGCCCTTGTGCTTGAACGTATACTTTCAATCATATACTATATTTCTTTCCGCAAATGCTGGGCGCGCGTAAACACAGATAATGCAAAACGTTCAAAACTTTGGAAATTTCACTAATGCAGTCGACAATCAGATGTGGGTTTACGGCATAACCAGCGTCTGCCAAAAAACCATTATTTTTCAGAAATTATACTACCATAGTAATGGACAAATAGCTACAAATAGTTTGGTGAGAAAAATGTTTACTCCACGGTGTGCGATTATCCATATCTCCAATTCCCATTTCAATGCCAGTATCTGCCAAAAAGGCGAACATATCGTTGAAATTGTACATGCAGAATAAGAGAGAGCGATGCCTAGAATGAATCTGTCGGCGTAGCTTGTGTGGGCACCCTGTATATTTTAAAGTGAGACAGATCGTAAATTCGTAATGCACATTTATTATAATTATACCACACCATTCTCGCGTATCCGCACTCTAATTTGAAAATATACAATTCGTATAAAATACGATTTATTTCTTTACTTATGCGACATGCGGGGCATGTGCGAATCCGGATCTTAGCCAACGAACTATAATCAAAATCCACCCTATACATTCAACTGGCGATCGGTTTCCGATTGTCTCAATTCGCCTTTATATTACACGCTCACGAACCCAATGGACGTGCATTATGGACACATATAGTACACAGGTACACATCGTGCATCATGGAAAAGAAAAATGGTACGTCAGCCATGATACGATTCCCATGATACATGCACAGATCGTTGTTATTGGTATCCACACATATCCTCATCACACGTGCACACCCACACGCTTACGCGCGCTGTAACGACGACGATGACGTTACCCGGTTCAAAGTAGATTAGTTGTAGCGATGAATAATGAAACCTCCAAAGTCCAAGCAGTTGTGTTCAGCAAATAGTATTATTGTTTCTCAACCCACATGCGCGCGCACAGAGGCACGCAGCCGCGTGACTCGCACACTCACTTCCGACCTCTCTCTTCAACCAAGACCTCCCATTTATACATTTCTAGCTAAGAAAGTCGCGCGCGCGCGGATAACCACACCCGTTTCCCACATGCACAACAATTCTCTCTGCACAATGCACAACAATTCTCTCAACAACAACTCCACCGTTTCTTATCTCCATCATCCATACTACATCAAACGCGCTACCGCCGACCAACCCATCTGCAAACCATACTTTACAGCGCGCAGACTAACACACGCTTATACGCGCGCGCACACTCACCCACGCTTACGCGCGCGCACACTCACACACGCTTACGCGCGCGCACACTCACCCACGCAAAGCCAGACAGACAGATAGAGTCAGACACACACAGACACACACGCACACGCACACATGCACACACACACACACACACACACACTAACACGCGCGCGCACACAAAAATACGCGGAAACGCAGACATACACGCACACGCAGATGCACGCACGCACGCACACGCATTCACACACGCGCGTGCACGCATTCACACACGCGCGTGCACACATTCACACGCGCGCGTGCACGCATTCACGCACGACACACACGCGCGTGCACGCATTCACACGCGCGTTGCTGACCATATTTATACCGTAGTAATAAAGCCATTTATCTTCTGGTTACTCATTCTGCGAGGTTTGAATTCTAATCAAGAATGTGTGTAAGTACGAAGAGTGCAAATTTAGAGAAAGCAATCGTTCTTACGCCCAAGTTTTTGATAATGCAGCGCAATAACGGTCAATGAGGATTTGCTTTTTGATCCGAAGATTGACGTAATAAACACATGACATAAATCTTTACACAGGTTCAATCACAAGATACCTCCAGCTGATTATGTTGGTATCTCCTCAAGATAAGAGCACATACTGCAGTGTACTGGAATGACATCAGAGCTACTTGTTGGAACTGGACGCTGAATGAAGATTTCGTGAAGATTTATCGCGCCATAAAAGCACGTTCCGTCGCAACACGCTCGAGGTTCTATTTTTTTTTAAATTCTGGCTATTGTTGACCATTCCCAATTTATATCGCCTTATTGCCGAGCTTACCTGATGTTGTTATGTGCTATTGCGCCATACCAAAGAGATTTGCTGTTGTGTAGGAGTCGGATGATATTGCAGAGGGTAATTAAATGAATAATTATGAGGCTTGCTATGCGTGGTCTACCTATCATATTACCGAGAAAGCTGTCAAGCATTAGAGAAATATTGTAATTTCTTTAGAAAAGAGAAATGAAGAATAATGTTTTTTTACTGTAGATCATTTACAGAGGTTTATTACAGAGAATTGTTATAAAATCGGAAGATATATAGAATTTTTGTTACCGTAACTTTTGTTATAGAATATTTATAGAAATGTTCAGAGAGAATTTGTAATATGTAGTATAAATAATATTTTATAGAAAGTTGATCACAACTTCTTTAGAACATAGAATAGTATTCGTGTATCGATATATACTTAGCATATACGGAAAGACACACCCTAATCCCAGAAAACGCTACATTTCTTTGTGCACGGGCCGAGTAGGGGGCTTTCCATCTAGCAGGTAGAATAGGTAGAGGGCAACATGACTCTCGCTAACGTTCTAATAGAGCTGGGCGAGAGGTGAGCGGGTCAATATGGGTCCTGTAACGTGTTGCTGCGTGCGTTTAATAAATAATGAAATAAAATTACTCGTAGTAGAAACAATATCTTACGCTCGCTCGGCTTGTGTCAGGATCAAACGCCCCATACTTGAGCACGTTATTGTACGAGATGTGCTGGTGTCAGAATAAACGGTGATATGACGACATGGTTACATGTAGTAGAGCATTAGGTTCATAGCAAAGGTTAGCATGGGAGAGTCAACGATGACAATCTTAAAGCCAGCTCAGAAGATCTTGTAATGAAAATATATACAAATTGAAACAATAACACAACAAATGCAATTAAAAATACCACTCTGTATTCCTTATTTACAAGTGTTGAAACTATAAACATCAAATTTACAAACGTGTGTGTCTTATAACCTGATCATTTCATATAAAAACATTATTAACAACAACAGTCACAAACAAGTGGCATCTGCCAACTGGAACACTGTATGAACAACCAACTGACCAGAGGGCGCCACAGTTCTTAGCATCATTACTGCCACGTTTATAAAGTAAATGCAACATCTGTGCAACAATAAAATCTCTTTATAACACTCAGAGAAAAATTAACATGGAGAGTCGCTGCTTAAACAATAACTTAGCGTAGAAATCCAGATGATTAGAATAGGTGCCTTTTTAGTATTAGTTTAAAAGCTGTCAATATTCTTGCTTACAAGCAAACCGATAATATTGTTGTGCCAACAATAAATAATATTTACACTATCTCTCAATCATTAAAACCAGCGAATTAACACATTCAAAGTACAACGAGATCCCCCAGACTCTTTCGAATCTATCCACGCAAAAACATCACAGATCGTATTCACCTCCATCCGAATATCAAAACGGGTAAAAACCTCGTTGAATGGCTTTCGCCGAAACCGTCCCTTTCGCACACCGTCATACATTACAAACATTTTTAACCGTCCTAGCAATGGGATTTCGATTTTGCTACACACATTACAGTAAGTCGTTGCGGGAGTGTGCTCACGATAATCACCAGTCACAGTTGTGCCTTAAATTGGCGTACTTTCGCATTTTCCTATAATCACCCCCAACTTCCCGAATACATTTGGTTTCCTTCAGGCTAACATTCACCGTGTAAACGTTTTTTTAGACAAAATTAAGAACGCAGTGTAAAATAATTTATAGTTATTACAAACTACTTCTTGAAGACAACCCCTGTTCTTGATGTGAGTACGTAAAACAGTAATAACACGATTAAAATCCGCATAATAATAATTTCTGTCAGGCATAATCTGACTAATGAACTGTGCTGCTGTGCCGTTGGGCATGATTGCATTCGAGCATCCCAGGTTAACGACCATTGCACAATGCAGAGGCATATTTGCAATAGAGGGCGCTGTGGAGCATGTTCGCAGCAGAGCATGTATATCAGATATATTGATATGTGCTCTGTTCAGTTTATCTGCATTAGCATTAACATTAGCAGCAGCAACATTAGCAGCAGCAGCAGTAGTAATAGTAGTAGTCGTAGTAGTAGTAATAATAATAGTAGTAGTAGTAGTAATAGTACTAGTAGGAAGAGGAGTAGCAGTAGCAGCAGTAGCAGCAGTAGCAGCAGCAGCAGTAGCAGCAGCAGCGGCGGCAGCAGTGACACTTTAACTCACCATCTCTTCTTCGCAGAGGAACATTACACAACGTCATGGCTATAACATTAACAGTGATACCGCATGTCGTCATGATCAGTCTGTGCTCCGAGGTATATATATGTAAACGAGAACATGGCAGTTCACTGCTGTATTATTTCTGGAAACTCGCAATTCAACTGCTACGAAAGTGCCCACGTGTGTAAGAATGCACACATGAGCTGCAGTAGATTCACTCGTCTATTGGAATCATATCAGATACATGATATCTATTGGATGCAGACAACAAAAGGCTGGGAGAGCCTATTCGTGCATGAACATTGGTCGTTATTACTGATGTGCGTTGAACCAATAGCACTAACCTTTGTTGCACTGCAGTAAAACATGGCCTGGATGTATGGAAAAGGCTCCTGAAATAAGTGCCATTCATACACGCTTAATGAAATAGTTATAAACTTAACGATATCGACACATTCAACGCATGGAAATAGTCGGAGGTAGCTTCTGTTCTCTTTACCAAGTAGCAAATTCAAGTGCTCTGTTAGAAAGCCGATGCATGATACGGTAAAATAATAAATACTAGTATCATCATTTCTAACACTTTTCTATTGGTACTATAAGTTTACCTCAATGTGAAGACAAGAAACATGCCACCTTTATGTGGGTGTTTTGCATGAACACCGCACAGACACTTCACCTGGTGTGAAACCACACGTTCAATTGACCCAGCACATACCCCAACCAGTGTTGTGAAGTGTTTAATTTACCCATCACATACACCATATGGTGGAAGAATCAATGTTGAATTTACCAATCACATACGCCAGCCGGTGAGAAAAACAATGTTAAATTTACCAATCGCAGGTCATCCAGTGGGGGAGACAATAGTGAATTTACAAAGCACATGTCACCAGGTAGTGGGAACAATGTCACATAAACCGATCAGGTAATACCGCGTGGCATGGGACATAATACTGCATAAGCCCACGCAGTGCGGAGTTTAATAAGGAAGATGGTCGATTATATTTGCTTTTCAAGTCCCATTAAGAAAAAAAAATCATATTTGCTCACATGAGCAAACCCACCCTTCTGTTCACGATTGGAAACTAAAACGTGAAATCCTACCAGGATTGGTGCTGACAGGCAGCTGCAGTGAAAACTCCGCCACATATGGTAGCTCGACGCTTATAGCATTGAATCCCCGCGCGGCGTCGCACGCACGCGTGGACCGCCGCTGCTCGCGCTCGCGTTTTTTAACCCTTCCTCAGCAACGCCCCCCGAATTAGAACGAGACACGCGTCGCGCGCCAACGGCTGGAAATAACCTAGACAGAGTCGCCGTCACACGGAGGAGGATCGCTCGTCGCCGCGCGCGACGTCCGGTGCCGACCACCGCCGCTTCCTCGTCGCCGTCGCCGTCGCGGCCGCCGGCTTGTCGATGAAGAGAGCGCGGCGCGCCGTCTCGGCGAGGCTGCTCGACGCATCCTCGGGCGTGCGGCCCGCGTGCTCCGTCTGAACCTGAGTAGTCGCGACGGCCGCCGCCGCCGCCGCCGCCGCCACCGCGCTGCCGTCGCCCGGCGAGCTGGCGAGCGTGGTGAGCTCGGCGCGCGTGGCGGCGCGCGGCTGCACGCGCTGCCGCGCCGCCGGCGCCATCTGTACGTCCTTGTGCGTGAGCGAGATGCACACGTCGCCGACGGCGAGGCGGTGGCAGGAGAGGCCGTAGCGGTGCAGCGTGCGCTCGGGGTGACACGACGACCAGCCCTGGCCGAAGACGAAGAACGGATGCTCGATGGCAGCTTCGACGGTCACCTGCAGCAAGGGAAGCGCACATGAGAATCTCTAGCGAGTGAGGGAAAGCAGCATGGCTGAGCCATTACGCAGAAATCAGAGAGCAATTCGAGACTGGAAAAAACTGCAATCAACAAACTGCAGTGGTGCCACGTGTATGACTGTGCATAATTATAATTAAATTAGTAAAATTTAATCTGATGTCTTTGTGTGTTTGTTGAGTACACTTAATTAGCTAAAGTACACAATAATTGTTTACAAACATTTTCTAGTAATTGCAACAATGGCAGAAGTTTGAAGCTGTATTTATGTCAGTTTTTAAGCCAGTGCTGCAGATTGTGCAGAGCTATCAGATAAATAAGACGAATTTAATGGCTTACACTTATAAATTTATACACGACATAGACAGAACTAAGGTATTCATGCGTTGACCAAACAGGCATTATTCAATCCCACCGAACATCGAACCGAAAATCGAAACCACAAATCAAAATGAACAGAATACGATGGCAGCATTGAACGTACAACAACGCACTCTAATTTTGCAAACTAGGTGGCAGCACATGCATTCACACTATGCGTTTCCACAAGGTCGAACACTGCTATTATCCCTCGTTCCGTTAACAACCTCGAAGCATCATGGAAACGTTGGAAACAACAGCATACATTTGAACGAGTCCTACCACGATTTGTATCTAGTGTCTATGCTTGCAGCTTATAGCGTGTAAGATTAAAAACCGATGTCAGGAAATCTCTTAACGCACACAATGAGAACTTGACTCCACAGCAAAATGATGAGCTTCATGTTTACATTCTGCCAGCGTATAACTTTCCTGACGATATTTGCTTGAAAGGTGAACGGGTGGGCAGCATATAATTCCCTGGGTGTTTTTTCTGGGGGGGGGGAGTGGAAGATCAGCAACTAGAAACGTAGTCCTAATCGGAGTAATTGCTGACAGTAATCGCAATCTCACGTGATGCTCCGGCATTTGGCCACACAGCGCTAACCGCCATCGCTTCCACAAAAACCTAAGCCGCTAGTAGGCATTCGAGTGCAGATCACCTCCCCCCTTCCACCTAGTTCCCCCCGCCATCGGAGCACCACCTATCCCACCCTTCCGCCTAGTTCCCCCTGCCATCGGAGCGCCACCTACCCACCCTTCCGCCTAGTTCCCCTTGCCATCGGAGCGCCACCTACCCACCCTTCCGCCTAGTTGCCTCCACCATCAAAGAGCCACCTACCCACCCCTCCATCGAAGCGCCACCTATCCCCATTCCGCCTAGTTTCCCCCACGAACGGAGCGCCACCTATCCCACCCTTCCGCCTAGTTTCCCCCACCAACGGAGCGCCACCTACCCACCCTTCCGCCTAGTTCCCCCTGCCATCAGAGCGCCACCTA